TATTATTATTATTATTATTATTATTATTATTATTATTAAAATGACTTGGAGGCAACAAGTGGCACCAGAGCTCTCTGACAGAGAAGGCTAAGCATCTCACAAAACTACAGATCCTTGAACTCCATAATATTGAGTGGTGTCAAACTGGATTATTTCTGCAGTGCAGATGCAGCCAATCAATGTAATGGCTAATGACAGGGGTTTTCCGAAAGTAAAAAGAAGTGGCTGGAAAAGGATAGAATGATCCTGACTTCCTTGGAGGGGGTTTTACAATGGGGTACCACAAAGAATTAGAAAAGATCCTAACACATAAAGATATACAACTGAGCACGAAAATTAGATTTGTGCAAGCCATTGTTTTCCCTATTACCATGTATAGTTGCAAGAGCTTGACAGCGAGGATAGCGGATGGAAGGAAAATCAATTTATTTGATATGGGGTGCTGGAGAAGAGTGCTGAGGATCCCATGGACAGCCAAAAAGACAAACAAGTGGATCCTTGAACAGATCAAGCCCAAACTCTCCCTGGAAGCCAAGATGATAAAGTTGAGTTTGTCACACTTTGGTCCCATCATGAGAAGGAATGACTAACTGGAAAAAAAATAATACTAGGAAAAGTGGAGGTACATAGAATGGGAGGAAGACTGCATGCCAGATGGATAGACTTTATTAAGGAGCTCAGGGGCATGAATATAAAGGACCTAAGCAAAGCAGTTGAGGACAGGGACTCTTGGAGCTGTCTCATCCATATGGTCGCCTTGAGTTGGGATCAACTCGAGGGTGGTTAACAACAACAAACCACTACAGAGAAAGCTCTTGTGTAGTCACCAGTGTAACCTTTTGGGGTGCTGGGATGTGCAGCTAGGTCTTCATTGAGGATCTCAAATTTCAGGCATGTATGGAGATATACATGAGAAAGTAGTCCTTCAGATGCTCTGGACCTAAGCTGTTCAGGACTTTGTATGTCATATATACTGGAATGAATGACTATCTTTCAAATTCCTTGTCACACAATGTAAGAACAAAGTTGTTTTCTTAGTATTATCACTAACAACTTTATCACACAGGACAGATCCCGTACAGAAACTGGATTTAAAGTGAAAACAACCCCCAAAAGCGGGTTGTTTTTCACACAATGTTCAGGGTTAACCCGAACACAAAGTAGAAACAACCCGCAAAAGCGGGTTGTTTTTCACATGATGTTGGCGTCAAGGAGAAATAACATGCTATTAATCTGAATGGAAAGTCACCAAAACCCACTCCTATTTACTTTTGGGAACTTCCGAAAGTAAAAAGGCAGGGGCTTTGGCGACTTTCCATTTGGGTTAATGTCGCATTATTTCTCCTTTACACAAACACATCTGAAAAACAACCCACTTTTGTGGGGTGTTTTTTTCAAGTTTTTAAAATCCTGTTTCTGCACAGGATTTAAGCAATCTGCCTCCTTATGGTAAACTCCTAACATACTAAAAGGCTGAGATATGTATGGCAGTCTCTTGTGTCTATTGTTTCCATTGCTTAGAAGGGGGAAAACATATCTGGCCTTGAGCAGCTGTTTTATCATGGAAGATGTCATACAGCTTGTATCTCTTCATATCTGTGACATAAATAAAGGTTGATTTCCTTACTTTAATTGTTTGCTTATTTATTTATTTATTTATTTATTTATTGGTCTGTTACTAGATTTCTGTTTCTTTTCAATTTGTGGTTGCATAATTGGTCATGAACAAGAGCTCAGACTTCTTCAGTTACAACAAAACTTAACTAAGCAAATTGTACATTCATCTTCCCAAGTCTACCTGCAATTTCCTTTTCATTGCTCTCCTTGCCCTCACTTCCACTTTGCTTCTTTCATACTAAAACATACCTCTGATCCAAATATTACAACATCCATGTTTCCCATTCGCTTCTCCCATCTACTGTCAAGTTTGTCTGACTTCCTACAGCCAGCTTGTCTCCTAGCAAAATTCTTGTACTTCTTTTTCCCTTTCAGATTTTCAGTTAATATTGCTGTAAATTGATATTTCTCCAGACACTCTCAAAGTAAGGGTCAGTGCTTGGCATCTTTGGGCACCCATCAGAGCCCAGCTGTCTCTCAGGGCACACTTGATGCCTGCCTTGTTGTTGTTGTGTGCGCCTTCAAATTTACAGCGGATAGCGGCAACCCTATCCTGGGGTTTTCTTAGCAAGATTTATTCAGAGGAGGTTTCCCATTGCTTTCCCCTAAGACTGAACACATATGAATGGCTCAAGGTCACCCAGTGGGTTGCCATGGCGGAGCAGGTATTTGAACCCTGGTCTCCAGAGTCGTAGTGCAACACTCAAACCACTATGCTACACTGGCTGCCTAACCCTCCTTAAGTTATTATTATTTTCTTGCTGAACACTTTTAGACGCATAATTTCTCAATTATGGTTCCCTGGAACCTTATGGTTCCACAAGTGGTTGCTATAGGTTCTGTGAGAGATTGCCAATGAGGGAGAAAACTTTTGTTAATGCAAGGGTTTTCTGACACCTGAAAATTATTTTAAGGGTTCCTCCAGAGTAAAAAGGTTGAGATAGGTGGCTCTAAGCCAGGGGTAGGCAAGCTAAGGCCCGGGGGCCAGATGCGCCCCCCCAAGGCCTTTGGACCGGCCCCAGGCCAGTCCTGCCGCCGCCACCCCCCGCCGCTGCCTCCGCCTGCCATAATGATATTGATTATTGTTGTTATTACTTGTTCTTGGGGTTTTGTTGGCAAAATCTCCACAGGGGTTTTGCCATGGCTTTTCTGGGGCTGAGAGAGTGTGCATGCATATTTTTAATTTTTTTAATTTTTAAAAAATATTTTTATTTTTTTATTTTTATTTGTTTATTTATTTATTTATGTATTTATGGTGTTTCGGCCCCCCCAATTGTCAATTGTTTGAGCTGGTCCCCATCTCAAAAAGGTTGCCTACCCCTGCTCTAAGCAGTGGCAGGTGTGAAAAGTAGCCACCCTTTCAATTTCCTGCAATGTTCCCAACTTAACTTGGAGTGTTGCATGTCAGCCCTGAGAAGATACTTTGCCCAGCATCCCCTCTAGTGTGTACCTAGCGGCATATCATCACACTGCACTGTTTTAGCACTATTATTTCACTTTAACCGCTATGGCAGGAAACTGGGTATGTTTAGCCTGGAGAAGAGACAGTTAAGAGATGATATGATAGCCCTGTTTAAATATTTGAAAAGATGTCATATTGAGGAAGGAGCTAGCTTGTTTTCTGCTGCTCCAGAGAATAGGACTCAGAACCAAAAAGTCTGATATGTTTTGGCCTGTAGCTACTCAATGGGGTGAAACAGACGGACAAAATAAAGTGGCTTCTAGCCACTTTGAAGGTGGGTATTTATATCAGACATGCCTCAAAAGCAGATGAAAAGTGAAATGAATCTGTGCTCCATGGCTAAAAACCAGAGCAAAAAGAAGCTGGGATACTCTGGCTTAACGTGCAAAATATGCATCTTTACACCTTCAGCGCAGGGCTGTGGCAAAGCAAAAATTGGAAGTGCAACAACTCTAATGTATGCAATTACAACTAAGGACTTTATCACACAGGGGAAATTTCATGCAGAAACGGGGTTTTAAATCGGGGAAAAGCCTGCAATTTTCACACGGCATGAATGTTAAATTGTTGTTAACCCGAACGGAAAGTAGTCAAAAGCTGCTTCTTTTTATTCTCGGAAAATCCCAAAAGTAACCGACTACTTTCCGTTCGGGTTAACAACACTTTATCAGCGATGTGTGTGAAAATCAGCCCGCTTTTGCGGGATTTCCCCAGCTTTTACATCCCGTTTCTGCATGGGATTTCCCCCGTGTGATAAAGTTCATACACAAACCAGGCAATCCAACAGGGTGGCATGGGGTGAAGGGGGCATGTATGGGGGCCTCCATGGTTGTGCTTTGCCAGTGTATCACTCGCACACCAATGAACCAACGTACCGTACGGGCAGAACATCGCACATGTGTGGCCATTCATAGGGGCAACCATTAAATGGTATAGCATCTGGGCAGATGTGGGAGGTACTTGGAGGTCACAGGCGGTGTGTTTGTGCGACAGAGCACATGCGTGTTGGGGAGGCAACAAAAAAAATAACCAGTGGCACAACTTGACACTATGCTGTGCAGTCAAGCTGTGGCAGCTGACATTTGGAGTGGGCTATGCAGACAGAAGGTTTCAACCCACTTTGGAAAAAGTGGAATCAAGTCGCTTTTTCCTGCCTGTCTGCTCCAGCCCTAAAGCTGTATCTAGACTGCAGAATGAATGCATTTGGATACCTCTTTAACTTTCATGGATCCATCCTGTGGAATCCTGGAGTTTGGAGTTTGTTGTGGCACCAGAGCTCCCTGATGGCAAAGCCTAAATATCTCACAAAACTATAAATCCCAGAATTCCATAACATTGAGCCATGGCAGTTAAAGTTGTGTCAAACTGCATTAATTCGACTGTATAAATGCAGCCCAAGTCTGGGATAGACAGACATGGAACGATAGGGAGGCTGAGTTATCTGTGAAGATCATCGCACCGACTTCTGCAAAACAAAATTACCTTTTTTGCCCCCAAATGCCTTCTAGGGGCAAGGGGAATTTTCATCACATTTTGGGGTTTTCCTGGACCATTTTAGGCCCAGGAGAGACCTTTTTTAACAATTGGAAGTGAATTAAAGATACTTCTTGTTTCATAAAAGGCCTTACTTGGACCTAAACTGGAGTCCAAGATTTTGGGGGACCTAAAATGTGTTGGTAATGTCCCTCATACTTCCAGAGGGAATTTTAGGGCAAATAAAAATGTTGAAACATTGTGCAAATTTTTAAAAAACATTTTCCTTGACCCAAATGGGCCCAGGAGGCTGCCAAACATTATGGAAATGCCTGTCACAGCCCAAGAAGGTTTGGGAGCATTTGGGGGGGGGTCACAAAAATGGACCTGGGGGTTTTCATGCCACCCATGGGTCTCAATTTGCTCACTCCTACTTTAAGGCCACCTTCAGGGACTATACAAAATAGAAAAGACAACCCATAAGTACAGATATAACAGTACAAGAAATTCAATAATTTCCATGTTCCTACATTGCCTATAGACTACAGTTAAAACTGCACTTTCCAGTTGAAAATTGGTGGGCTTTTTCTCTAATAACCATCCTCTTCCATTATGTAATATGATTTTTCTTTCTCTTGTGGGCATTTTTTATTGGTGTTAATAAAAACACAGATGTAGTTTTCGTTAGGAAAAGGATGTTTACCATTTGTCACAAGGATACAAAATATTTCTTGCAGGCAGCTAAAAGAATTACGGTAAATAATTGTCCTTTCATTTCTGCACTATTTCTAATATGATTTCACATTAGCTTTCAAAGTACTCAACAAATTCCTTGAAGTACTAGCAATTAACAATTCCAGTGATTTATTTATTGCTTTTGGTGCTATCGATTACATTTTAAATTACATTAAAACCTTATTCTGCACTGCTTTAGATCTATTTTGATGAAACAGAACAAATATTTTTATGGCAGAAACATATAATACAAATTATTGAATTCAAGATGGTACTGCATTTAGTCTAGAACAGGGGTAGGCAACCTAAGGCCCGGGGGCCGGATGCAGCCCCCCTGAGGTCTTTGGACTGGCCCCAGGCTGGTCCTGCCGCCGCCCCCACCATGATGATATTGATTATTGTTGTTATTACTTGTTCTTGGGGTTTTCTTGACAAAATCTCCACAGGGGTTTTGCCATGGCTTTTCTGGGGCTGAGTGAGTGTGCATGCATTTTTTTTTATTTTTTTTTTTAAAAACCTATTTTTATTTATTTATTTATTTATTTATTTATTTTTGGTGCTTAGGCCCCCCAATTGTCTGAGGGACAGCAAGCCGACCCCCGGCTCAAAAAGGTTGCCTACCCCTGGTCTAGAAAGACTTCTTAACAGTTGTCATTAGAAAATCTGCATTATAAAGGTTCATCCAGACTGTATTGTATTAACATTGAAATTTAGATTTGACATGGGTCCACAGTTTGATTTATTGACTGTACGAATTTTGTTTCAAATTGATGCATGTGAAGTATAACAATTAAATTATATTTTTAATGCTCCATTTGAAGTTCTGTGCTGAGGATATAGAAGACATTTTTTTAAAAAAAATCTCATCTGAAGAGAGAGACTCACAATAAATATGGAGGTGATAAGTGCTTTCTCACATGGGTTAAGCAGGTCTATCCGTTTCATTTTTACCCACATTCAGGTTTTTGAAAGTTAAAATTATAGTTTTAATTGATGCAATTCATTGTCTGTCTTTGTTTAAATTTGTTTTCTGTTTTAAATTGGTTTTAACAGAGATTTGTATTTAATATATTTTTAATAGGGGGTATTATTGTTTATTGTCAGGGTTTTTATTTGTTTTAGCTGTAAGCCGACTTGATTGCTATGGCAAAAGGTGGGGGTAGAAATAAAAAATATTAATGATGATGATGATGATGATGATGATGATGATTATTTTGGGCATAATAAAAAAAAGAACTCCCATCCAACAGCACTGATGAAATTCTTTAGGTACAACTGTCCAGAACATGGAGAAAACCAAAGATACAGTATCTCTTTTACTATTTAAATTTCCTCATTGTCTAGGTCCCCCTAAATGTGAAATTCCAATCTTCATTCTGAAAGTTTTTTAGACTTTTATTTCGATCACTTGTAAACAATTTTACTGCTGTTCCGTTTATTGCAGCTATGTGCCTGTGTGTATAGCTATAAATAACTTTAGAATAATAAACCTGCTTCAATGCTACTTGATCTGCAGCATCACTCAGCCACAGCCATTAATACTGGCACCCCTTCCCATTTATTTATTTATTTATTTATTTATTTAATTTTTCAGCATGAGAATATCACTGCGCCTCAGCATGTAATGTAAGCTGGAGATTAACATTTCCTTCTCCTTAGGCCTGACCAAATCCTGATAATGCAGCTATAAACAAGATGATGAATTTTGACACATTGAAGAAGTTATCCTCAGTAAATTATATTGCCAAAGTATTATTGCTATTGAAATTATAAACATGATTTAATATTACACTTGACAGTTAGTGAAATTAGATGTTGTATCTCAGCAGAAAGCTTTCTGCAGTTGCTCGGCGATCAATATGACAGAGGTTTGGGACAAGTCAATACAGATGCAGTAAAACAGTCTCTGCAGTGCACTGAACTGGAATACACATGCAGTTGTAAACTATTTAATGATCTTCCTAATCTGCAGAAGGGTTATTGTGACCTTAATGTATTTAGAAATCATGATGAGTTTCATTCCATCAAAAGACTGTATCTTCATTCATATGCCACT